GCTTGAGCTCCATATGAAACTGATTGGTTTAAAAATAATCCCATTTCCCCTGCCAGTGATTGATCCAGGAATTGACTTGGCACCAAATTTTTTATCAATGATCTATATACAAAAGGTTCATTGCTAAGAGTTTTTTGAAAACATAAAACATAGACTTTTTTCTTATCAGTCCCTCTACCAGTTATCACACTTACTTCTTAAGTTCAAGATCCCAGACTGTGAGTCTTCTTTATTAGTCAAGATGCAGTACATGGAGATCCAGCAATATATGACTATAAATAGTTTAACTTGAGCACATGTAAAATGCAATGGCTAATAAAGCATAGAAGCCCTACTATAATCTCCATTTCAGAAAATGTAAAGAACACCACCACCAATCATCATTAATTTATGAGTATACGATATATTTCTGGACAGAGTACCACAGTTTCAGAGTCAGGCAATCCCACAGTTCTCTGATAGAAAACCCATTATCATCCAGTGGCAATGTCTGAGATAAATATTAAAGCTTATCTTATAAGACCTTACTAAAAGACTCAATAAGCAGTCATGATCCTGAATTTTTTTTACATTTTTTTCTCATTGAGTTTATTGGTAATTTTTAGGTACACAGTACAGTTACATTCATCATTGGGATCTTGTACCTTTACATGATGTATTTTGGTTCTCATTTTCCCCAAACCCCTGTCCTCCCTTCACCCCTGCCACCCTTCCCGATTAACAAAAACTTTGTTTCCATTTTTTCCTTTTCTCATATTTTTCTTTTCCTTTATTTCCTTTCCCCTACCCTTCCCACTTTCCCTATACCTTTAGCCCTTTTCTTCCTATTTCACATTGTCAATTATACCATTTGGAAGATCCTGAATTTTTTCTAGCAAACTTTTTAGTGTTATAGCTTTGGCAGGTGCATCATATAAATGACAAATGTTTCACACTGTCATGACAGGGATAGAAAGATCAAGTTTCCCTCTGATTTACCTCTTTCACACAGTCAATTCTGTATCTTAAGATTTATTACTTGTTGTGCCTCACTCTTGGGACTAAACTCAGTAAAAGATCTTTAAGCTGCATAAAACTGAAAACTCTATTCAGTCTTCAACAATAATAAAAAGTATTGTCAACCAAAACTAAGGTCCATCCGTAGAATAGACATTAGGGTAGGTTAGTCAAGAATATCATAAAAGACACAGGTTACTGCCATCTTCTCATTTAAATACCAATTCTGACAACTCCATTCTAAGGCTTATTGTTCTCATGACTGTAGTGTACTCCCTGTTGCGACTAGCACTAATGGTTACATAGTCATAGCCAGTAGAAAATGACTTCCTTCATCTGTGCTTGACAAGGGAAATGCATTTCCAAGAGATATCCTGAGAAATTCTTTTTTTTTCTCCCTCTCATTTAATCAAGTCAATTTGGTCCAGGCTCTCTGCAAACTAAGATAGACTGGCTAACATGATTACATTAGACAAATAAGGGTTTCAAACTCTGTGGTCAACCACCTCCCCTGAGACATATGTGCTTTATGTGGTGGTGTACGACACACAAACAAAATAGAAAGTTTAGTTAGGGGTGAAAAAAAGAGGGGATACATGGAAGCGGGTGCTGATGGGTGGAGGATAGGATCATTTTGCTCACTAAAGAATAATATTTCCCCTAGGAATGCGACAAATGGCATATCCCTTGGACATCTGTCTTCAAATCATCTCCCTAGCTTTAAAAACATACCTGACGAGGCTGAAGACCAGCCCCACTCATTACCTCAAGTTCTAGTCAGGCTAGGTAGTTATTCACCATAATACCTTTTTCAGGCTACAATACCAAAAATTTAGTGAATTGGAATTAGAAATAAAATAAAATGCAAACTGAATCCACAACTATACATCCAAAAAATGAGAGAGATTCATCAAACCAACATTGATAGCAATTTCTAACATATTTTTCTTAATCTGTTGGCAACCACTTCAATTTCTCATCCTCCACTTTAAACTTATTTATTTTTGCCATTTCTGCAAAATCATTGTCAAACAGGATGCACACTATCACCTGTCTCACATACGTACAAAAGGTCCAAGAAGAGAAAAAGATTTAGTCCCCATCAACACACTGAGTTCTCAAAATCTCCCCAGTACCTTAGAGCCTATGAAACAATGTTACCTTGATTACTAGAAGTAAATTTGAAATATCCTAAGAGTATAAAAGTCAAACATCGAGCCTGCGGGCCAGCTCCAGTCTGCGGAAGGTCATCATTCAATGACACAACCTCACTGAAAATAGCTTTATTTCACTTGGCACTTTTTAAATGAAATATTACTTCAGCCTACCAGAATTTTCATGAGGGGAAATTGGTCCATGAGTAAATTTGAGTTGACACTCTTGTCCTGAGGAAACAAAATGGCATTTTTGAGAATGTAAGATTAATGCACTAAATGATTATTATTTACCCCAAACTAAGCCCTTGGAAATTTCAGCAAAACTGAGGCATCAAATATTAGAAGCTACAAAATTCAGCTCAGCCCAGAATGTGTGTGTATGTGTGTGTGCACATGCACATACTTCCTAAACAGCATAATCCTCCAAACTAGCTGCATCACTACATTTAGTAGCATGTTTTCATCCTGAATTTCTCAACCTACTTTTTATGTCATCTTATTCATAGTTTTTCCTAAGACTTTTAAGCTAAGGTAGGCTTTTTAAAGAGTCAGTCCAAAGTAAAGATTGACTTGTGCACGGTCACCCAAAAGGTGAGTTGCTTTATTTCCTCTCCTTTATCTTTAGAAAAGGGTACACTAATGGATTTATTTCACACCTTAACACATAGGTAATCTCTATAGAAACAGTATCAGCCAACCTGAAGTTACCAGTTAATGTGGTCCTTTGAACCCTGAGTTAAGCAAAAGTCTTGGGGACCTGCTCCCTAAGTCCTATGGGAAATTATTATACTTTTTCTCACAACTCTTTTTAAAAATACATTGTTTAGTTTTATCATTCATACTAAAATATAGTTTTGTACTTTGTTAAAAGGAAACTAATCAAGTTTTAGGTAAAAATCCAGGGGAAATATTTTTTCATGACAAAAATCAAACCCCACCCTAAGATATTTGCTTACAAGAAATGTGTGTGTCTCTGTCACTTTCTCCTTGCTGGAACAAAACATTCAACACTCGCAACTTAAAGAAGAAGTTTATTTTAGATCATGGTTTCAGACCATGCTTGTCTGACTCTAAGGGAGAACAGAGAGGGGTATGGTGGAAGAAAAGGTGTGCAACCCATGGAAGCTGGAAAGCAAAGAAAGAAAGGAAGGGTCAGGGACAAGAGCACACCCTTTAAAGTCATGCCCCCAGTGACTCATGCTAATCAGGTCCCACCTCTTAACAGCACATTCAACTATTGAATTCATAAATGGATCAATCCACTGATGAAAATAGCATCCCCGTGACCAAATCACCTTCCACACACATGAGAATTTGGGGAACATTTTAGATCTAAACCATAATATTCTGCCTCTGGCCCCTAAAGACTCATACACATGTTACTATACAAAACACATTTAATTTATTTCTATTAGTCACAAGAGTTTTAACAGTTCAAACATCGCTGAAAAATCCAAGTCCAGTCTCCTCTGAGACTAAATTCTTAACTGTAAGCCCCTGTGGAAATGTTAAAAAAAAAAAACCTTAAATACTTCCAACATACAGTGGCACAGGCCAAACATTCCAATTCATGAATGAAAAAATAGAAGAATAGAAAGGAATAAGACCTACACAAGACTTAAACCCAGAAGGATTTCAGTAAATCCTACAGCTAACAGTAAATCCTGTAGCTCCAAGTTGAAAACCTGGAGTAAGTTGTAATGAGATGAGACCTCTAAACAACTGCCCCTACGGCATTCATCAATGCAGCTTTCGTGGCCTTTTTGTGGGATGGCTCCACTTACAGCCTACAGCTTTCCTTAGCAGATATTCCACATTCCTGGCATGTCCAACTTCCTGGGCCTTCACTTTAAGTTCCAGTTTCATAGATTCATGCATTGGCCTTTCAGGGGCACACTGTCTAGCCTCCCAGGGCTTCTTCTGAAATCTGGGTGAAAGCCTCCATGATCCCACAAATCTTATATTCTACATGTCTGAAAAAACAGCACTAGGAGGATAATGCCAAGCTATGGTACCAGCTTGAGCAATAACCAGGTCTTTTTGAATCATGGCCTCAGAGTCCTCTGAGTTCCTGGATGACTGAACTCTGGAAAACTTTCCTTGTTGGCCCTAAATGTGTTAGACTCCCTGAGGCTCTCTCCTCAAAGCAAAGTCTTTCACTTTTGCACTTTTGAGACTGCAAAGGATGGGAACTTGTTGATTCCTGAGAAACCCTCAAGCCATTTTTCCTATTATCCTGATGTATAGAAGTAGACTTCTTTTCAGTAACGCTAATCTCTTTAGCAACCATACTCTCCATGGCCCCAACTTTGCAGGCCTTCTTTTCTGTTGAAACAGCAAATGTTTCACATCTTTTGGCTCCAATATTTGCTCCTGATTCACACTGTAGACCTGGATAAAAACAGCCAGAAGTATTCATGTCTTAGTCATTTTCTTGCCACTGTGAAATATCTGACACACAACTTAAAAGAGAAGAAGTTTATTTTGCCTTATAGTTTCAATTCATGGTTGACTCGCTCCAAGTCAGAAACATGATGGTAGAGGCACATGGTAGAGGAAAAGGTACTCAACTCATGGAAGCCAAGAAGTAAAGCAAAAAAGGTGATGTCAGAGACAAGAACACACTGTTTTAGGTTATGCTCCCAGTTACCCACTGCAAACCAGGCCCCCCTTCTTAACAGCATGTTCATATACTAATCTCATCAATGGATGAGTCCAGTGATGCATATATCACTCCCACGATCTAGTCACTTTCTACACATACATAAGAATTTTGAGAGAAATTTCAGATCTAAACTATAACAAAGTGTATGTTCTTTATTTTATTTTATTATTTGTTCACAAAGGACAGCAGCATAACACAATGTAACATTCGATTTTAGTATTAAGTCACTTTTTCATTCATCATTTGTAGTCTCTATTTTTATCAACACACATGACTATGTTTTCCAATACAGCACCATCAACTGCTCAAATAAATCATCATTGAAACCTCTAGAGACCAGTGTATTAGGAACAATACATCTGCATGGCAATGTGACTAGAAAAGCACACTGAGTGGCAAGAAGAGGAAGGAAAGGCCTTGAGGCAAGGAGTAAGAGAGACTTTGGCAATATTTTAAATGTCAGTATTAGCTATTTATTTTTTCCAAAATAACAATAATAATAATAAGCTACCATATACCTAAAAAGCTCATATTTTGAATTGCCTATGTTTATTAAATCTGAAGTATTCACCATGTGTCTTAGTCACATTCTCATCACTGGACACAGTATCCAACACTCATAATTTAAAGTAGGAGAGAATTATTTTGGCTCATGTTTTCAGTCCATGTCAGCTGTTTCCAAGGCAAAAACACCATAGAGGAAGGACTGAGGGTAGGGGTGAAAGCTGTTTGCAGCATGGCAATCAGCAAGCAGAAAGTGAAGGCAGAGGCTGGTAAGGGAGATATACTCTTCCAAGTCACACCCCCAGTGACTCATATTTTCCAATCAGGCCCTATGTCCTAGCAGCATATTTAGCTATAAACTCATCAGTGAATTAACCCATGGATAATTTATAGCACCCCCAAGATCCAGTCACTTTCCAAAAGCCCCACCTCTGAACACATGAGACTTTGGGTGGACATTGTATATCTCAATCATAGCACCAAGCAATGCTTTTGGTCCAGTCATGTTCAATTCATAATTGAGAAGCATGACAAAGCCACATCCAAACAGTAGTCATAAAGCACATGGCTAAAGAAGGCAATGTCAACCTCTGCTAGACATTGTGCCACCATGACTCCTGGTTGAGACTTTAGATGGCTTAGGTCCACCACCACTTCTCTGGGAAGGCCTTTTGACAGTGGACCAACAGTGTCATCTTAAAGAAAATACAAACCTGAAGGCCGTAACCTAAGGGGTAAAGAATGTAGATGAAAGCTAGAAGGATTCAAAGGTGTGATGAGTATTCAGTGTCAGAGAGGCACTGAAGTGTGGGCTAAGAGGAGAGATGTAGCACATGAAGAAGTGATGCATATGAAAGGTTCTCTGATATTTAATCATCTTGAATAGGCTGATTATCATCTTTGCCAGAGTTTAGTAACTGAGAAAACCCCAGTTATGGCTCCATTTATTAAAGGACAAGTATTGTATGATTCTACTTATATGTGGTTCCTAGAACAGGCAGATTCAAAGAGACATAAAGTAGAATGATGGTTGCTAGGGTTTGGAGGTGAGAGATAAATGGGGAATTACTGTTCAATGAATTCTGCTTTGAAAGATGAAAAAGTTCTGAAGGTAGATGATGACAATAATTAGACAACAATGTGAATATACTTAAAGCCACTAAACTGTACACTTAAAATGGTTTAAATGATTTAAAAATGTAAATAAGAGGAGAAAGCTTATGTGAACCAGCAAACTACTGTCTCACAGGTGGATTTTTCCATTTTGTACTCACAACCATCTTAGAGAAGAATTCATTCTCTAGTCAAGAAGAGGCCAGATGCTAAAAGGACCATTTGGAGGCCTAGCGAAACAGAAAATAGTCGCCAGCTCCAGGAAGTCCTGCTTAGCTGCACCCTCCCTGCCAGCACCACTGCCATCATTCCAGCACCAGGAAGGTAGCTGCAGGGGCACCCTTGAACCCCTCCAAACCCCCCCACACTCTCAGACCTCCTGACTGTGCCAGTCTTTGGACCCATTCTACAGAGGAAGAGGTGGTCATAAAGGGTATTTTTCTGAGCTCCCAACTTTGAACATCTTTAAAGAAAGGGCATGTGAAAACCTGTAGTAGAACTGTGTGGAGTTCAACCCTTTAAGAGGTCAGGGAACTCAATCTGGGCCTGGCAGCTGAAGGTCATTCTGTGTGGTGGGGTTCGGACATCAACTAGCTGAGATCAGGGGCCTTGGTTCTGCACATGGCAGCGCATGTTGTATATTATGACAGAAGACATATAGTCTGAAAGAAGCCCTTCAAATTCATTTTTTTTCTTTCTTTTCCACATTTCACTCTGCAAATTCTTTCATTTTTCTGTCCTCTTTCTCCAACTCAGTGTCTTGCTCCACATTTTATCCCTCATCTCCCTTTCTGTTTCTGCTCCTGCCCGAACTCAGATTTCTTCTTTTACCATTTTTTCTCTTTTCTTTATGTTCTTTTCTTCTGTCATTCTACCTCCCTCAAGAGTCAACAGTTTCAAGGGAAAGTGAGCCCCTATTACTGTGAAGGGGATATATTCTTGTCCATATATTTCTACTCTGTCTATCCCTTTTGAATTTAACAGCTTCCTAAAGATGGTGTAGTCATTCTATGTCCTCTGGCTTCACTTGAAACCTTCTCCAATTCTTTTACTTATCTACTCCTCTCATCCTAACTCTGTCTAAGCCCCCATCCTAAATGGTACATATGCTATACTGAAAAGTTTATTCACTGCAAACATATTTTGGGCTGCTTCTTGATTTTAATTTAATTCACATGGTTTAAAAGTGATAGTCTAATGATTACAAGTGGTCAAATTGCAAGTTATGCTTGATCATATTGTGTTGCTGATTGTATCAATTGGGATAAAGGATTGTGATTGATTTAATGAGCTGTTTTCTCTGATATTATGAAAATGAGAATGTCTATGAGTCATTTGTGACCCAAAAGCTAAAGTGCAACTATATCAGGAAGATGTAAGCAATAACCCAAAAATTAAATCAAGGACAACCCAACAAGAAAAATAAAAATGAGAAAACACTTAAGCAAGAAACAAAGACAGACTTCCAGTTCACCAATGGTGAACAGTAGGGCAAATGAGGATGAAAAGTCTGATAGTGAACCAGCAGGACTCCCTGAACTCAAAGCACAGGAAGTAACAAAACAAATCAATCAAGCTCTAGAAAAATTCAAAACAGAAATAATTTCCCAGATAACCATAGAGATGGTAAGCAAAATGAAAGTCGTGATTCGAGACTGAAGAACAGAAACTGACAAAAAAATAGATGAGCTCAGGATGACGATAGAAGCCATGAAGGCCCAGCATAAGAAAGAAATGGAAACGATAAATGCCCAAATAGGAAAGAAATGGAATCCATAAGACAGATTCAAACAGATATCCAGGAGATTAAAAACTCCATTGAAAGTGATCGCAACAGAATAAAAGAATGCGAAGATAAAATCTGAGATATAGAAGATAAGACCGCAGTCAGTGACCATGAAAAGAGAGGTCTCTCAAAAACAGTAGGGGAGCCATCACTCAAGCACCGGGAGGTAGCCTGGACCCCGATCCACCACGGGAAGGAGAGCCATGCCTTCTCCCACCCTGAGCCACCATTGCTCCAGGGCCAGGAAGGTAGTGCCCCTGAACCCCCATAACTCCCCTAACCTTCCCCCTCCCCTGTGCACTCTCAGACCTCCTGATTGTGCCAGTCTTTGGACCCACTCTGCAGAGGCAGAGGTGGTCATAAAGGGTATTTTTCTGAGTTCCCAACTTTGAACATCTTTAAAGAAAGAGTGTGGGAAACCTGTAGTAGAACTGTGTGGAGTTCAACCATTCAGAAAGTTGGGGAACTCAATCTGGGCCTTGCAATCTGAGGTCAGTCTGCGTCATGGGGTTCAGCCATCAGCTGAGAGCAGGGATCTTGTGTCCTAGCTCTGTCTGAGCCATTAAATGGTAAATATACTATAATGAAAACTTTCTTCACTGCTGACAGGTTCTGGACAGCTTCTTGATTTCAATTTAATTCAAATGGTTTAAGGGTGATAGACTAGTAACTACCACAGGTGGTCAGTTTCCAAGTTGTGCTTGATCATAATGTGTTGCTGATTGTATCCATTGGGATAAAGGATTGTGGTTGATTCAATGAGCTGTTTTCTCTGATGTTATGAAGATGAGAATGCCTGTGGGTCGTTAGAGACCCAGAAGCTAGGGCGCAACTATATCAGGAAGATTTGGGTGATAATCCAGAGATTAAACCAAGGACAGTCCGACAACAAAAATTAAAATGAGAAAACACTTAAGCAAGACACAAGGACAGACTTCCAGTTCACCAATGGCAAACTGTAGGGCAAATGAGGATGAAAAGGTCGATAGTGAACCACCAGGACACCCTGAACTCAAAGCACAAGAAATATCAAAAGAGATCAATCAGGTTCTAGAAAAATTCAAAACAGAAATAATTTCCCAGATAACCATAGAGATGATGAGCAAAATGAAAGTCATGATTTGAGACTCTAGAGCAGAAACTGACAAAAAAAAAAAAAATAGATGAGCTCAGGACCCCGATAGAAGCCATGAAGGCCCAGCATAAGAAAGAAATGGAAACAATAAGCGCCCAACATAGGAAAGAAATGGAATCCATAAAACAGATCCAAACAGATATCCAGGAGATTAAACACTCCATTGAAAGTGTACACAACAATAAAAGAATGCAAAGATAGAATCTCAGATATAGAAGATAAGATTGCAGGCAGTGACCATGAAAAGAGGGGTCTCTTGAAAACAGTAGGGGATCATGAGAAATAAATCCAACTCCTAGATGATGCAAAGAAGAATAACATAAGACTGATAGGAATCCATGAAGTAGCAGGAGAAAATACAAGTGACTTAAAAAAGCTGTTCGCAGAAGTAATGAGAGAAAACTTCCCAAACAGAGGGGAAGAATTTTACATTCAGATAACTGAGGCATATAGGACCCCAACTAGCTACAATCAAAAAAAATCTACACCTAGACATATAATAATCAAGATCCCAGAAACCCAACAGAAGAACAAAATACTAAAAGCAGTAAGAGAAAAGAAACAAATCACATGCAAAGGAAAGCCCATCAGAATCACAGCAGACTTTTCAGCACGAACCATTACGGCAAGGAGAGCCTGGAGTGAAATATTTCAAGTACTAAAAGAGAACAACCTCCAACCTAAACTGATGTATCCTACAAAACTCTCTTTC